ACATTCACACTCCGATGAACGCATCGGAGGGCAACTTGGGGTTAGAATCTTGCCCAAGGATATTTGGCATGCAGACTGGGGAAGCCAAGAATCGAACCACCAATCAGTAGCTGATCTGCTCTACCACCTGAGCCCTGTATGGTGAGCTCGTTGATCTTTGTCCCTGCAAGGACAGATATAAGTGCTTACATAACTGTGGTTACGCATTCTGACAGTGTTCACGTTAATCCAGCAGCAGGATGCTGGGCAGTGGGACAAGGCCGTGCAGTCCTGCTTTCATTTCATCTACAGGCACGATTACTGCAACTCTCCTCCTATCTGATATAATCTGAGAGTCCAACTGGTTAAAAATGTTCACGTCCTACAGTCTTGGTTTCTCTCCTATGACTCCTTTTACATTTTAGAACTGACTTTAAAACTTTCAACCCTTCGTTGGGTTCAAGCTTTATTGTAAAGAACTGTGCTTCTGTCCTCGACTTTAGGATGACTTTCCAGAGGAGATAAGATCTCCAAAATCACATCTTAAGAAACATTTTCACGATTGTTGTCATTATTTTTTCCATCCTCATCCTTTCTAATAATGAATAATCATGGCTTAAGGAATTTGTATGACGAAATCTCATCAAGCAGGAGCACCGGAATCCGGGTCATGTCGGTTCCTGGGCCAGTTCAATCTTTCTCACTTACACTCCTTACTTATTATTTGCATAACCATCACAGCTGAATCATGTATAGGGACTATATTGCATGGTTTTTAAAAGCTGGATCTCTAACTGAGGTGATACCCTTCAGGTTGAGATGCTATCTTGAAGGAGAGTACAGGTTATGACTTTTTTGTTTTCCTGATGGATGTCAAGATGCCAGATCATGTTTTGGTAGGAAGTTTAGTTTAGTTATGCTTGTGGTGTGATGTGCCTGCAGTAACCTGTTATGTTGTAAACTTTTTGGCTGTGTCTTGGAAAAAGAAAGATGTAAACCTGATGTAACTGGAGCTTAAATCCCAGCTTAACCCTGTAAAGCCTGAACCACTTCAGAATAATCCCACATAACTTAATTTTTTGTCGAATGCAATTTTTTTTTTTTTTAAATTGTCAACCAAAACTTATATTTTAGAAGTGTTTTGGATAAATGTAGCACAGTGGAAATTCCACACCTGAGCTGTGAATAAGTGGGAGAAAAAAAGTGTTTCTTTTATACTGTTGTAAATCTGAAAATCTGAATCATCGACGTGCGTCACAGCTACAAAAGATAACAAAAACAGATAAAAACTGATGCATTACCTTACTCACCCTTACTGCTTCCAAAGGAAATAAGCAGTAGCCAAGTGTTGATAATCAAATGTGCTGAGGACGAGCAGACATGTAGAAGTATGTTTTTATGTTTTGGCATGCCATGAGCTGAACCATGACCTTCTCTTCTCCAAGGATTGTGTGACACTCTTTTGTAATCACACAGCTGATCTGACTTTACCTAAAGAGCTTCTTTCCCTTCCTCCTTCCAGAACTACAGAGCTGATTTTCTAGGGGTGATCAAAACTGAGGTTTCATTTATTTGTCTGTGTTTTAACTCAGCAGCTACATTTGGCGAAAACCAAACACCTTGGCACCTCACAGTCACTGAGTCGACCATAGATTATTCTAGAGTCAAATGTGAGACCATCTGTCAGGTTTATATGGTTGATTGTCATTTATGCTTAGAAATATTAACTCATATATGCTTAGAGTTTATAATCGATCCTTAGTAGTCTGCAAAGACTTTGTGTGCATTCCAGAACGTTCTGGCATACACACTCACATCCTAGGGTCATAACATGAGAGAGGTCGTATCTTCTCTTGCTGATATATGGTATAGCAAACACATCTATATCTGTTTTAGTCTAAGTGCCTTTTGTTTAGATGAACTGCTGGACTTCCAGACCAGCAGGTTTAGGAAAGTCTTTATGGGGTCACATCTTGACACACACACACACACACACACACGCACACACACGCACACACACGCACACAGACGGTACTCTTTGTTCACATGTGTAACTATGTTAATGAGCCTATGCATATTCATGTATACTCAATAAAAGAGCAGTGTTACGAGGGAGCGGACGAGAGCGACCGAGGTCAAGCGAAGGAACGCCGCTCGTTCTCTCCCTCATGCATGAGAAACACAAAGAACTTTGGTGAATTGTGTCTTGCTTTTTGCTGTGTAGTAGAATTGTCTTGAACGTTCCAGTGAATAGGTTAATGCTACAAACCTTCGCCATCTGTACGGTTTTCTGAAGCCAGAAGTTGCCTCATGTGGATAGTTATATCCATCTATACATATGGTATAGACCAGCGATACGCAACCCCCGGGCCATGGACCACCGGTACCGGGCCATGAGAGTTGAGGCTCTGGTGTGAAATTCAAGGTTTTCAGGGTTTTTAGCGTTTTTATTATTATTTTTATTTATCATTTTTATCATTAACTCGGTTTCCCTCAGTCTCTTCCCGTGTGTTATGAATAAATCTTCTTTTTTTGTACCGGTACTGGTTTTATTTTGTTGTATTTCTCCACATTTCTCCATTTCTCCGTGGTGCAAAAGAGGTTGGGGACCGCTGAAGCTGCATTCATAACCTGTCTGAGCGCTGAAGCAAATCAGCCAAGAAGGGCTAAACTAATCAAACTAATAATTTCACTCATCAGTACTGAAGCACAAACCTCTTCTGGTCTGTATCACAAACACCATCATATTATTTGGAAAATCCTTTAAAAACATCACACAGTGAAAAAACCCAGTTTAATGTCTGGGTAGTAGATGAGGTGTTGCAGACATTCCTAATTCTGCCGTCCAGATAAATGAGTCAGAGAATGATTAAAGTTTATTTTAACATTGGAGTCTGTGGAGCCTGACTCACTTCTGACATCAAAGGAACTTCAGATTTTGGACTTTGGCCTTGGATTCATTTTTCAGTTACTGAGGCCGCGCCCAGGTGTGACAGCTCAACCCGAAGTCTCATAAACTTGCATTCTTTCTGAAAAGTGAAAGATGACCAGATGTCTGGAAAGACCATTAGCTGGTCTGTTAAGATGCAAATTCTTTTAGTACCTCAGTCAAGTGAAATGGCCAGATATTTCACCATGAGGCTTCACGACAGCTCTTCACACACAGGTGGGTCAAGGTGGTTAGGCCAATTCTTTCGAAACAGTCTATGTTTTGTCAGGATTTCTGCATCGTCAAAAAATCTTTAATCGAAATCAGTTATCTGCAAACACAATCTGACCAAACTATAACATATCCTGAAATTCTGGCAGTCTGGTCTTATATCAAAATGTGTATTTGTTTGTGCTCTGCCACATGTGGATGAGCAAATTCCAAGGAAGGAAATAAAAGGCTATAAAAGGACCAAAATAAGCAACTTTATATGTGGTGTTAGAAGAGTGGATTTCCTGTGACTCACATGTGATGCCTAATACTACAAAATTAACACGAGGACTGCAGAACAAACGAGCGGATACACCTGAATTTCCTCTAAGGTTAAAAATTTTTCAGATTCTAAAAATAATTTTTTTTCAACATCCTTTCATGAGAGACGTCTTCAGTATTTTTTCATGTTAATGGGAAAAGGACATTAAAACAATATTCAGTGAAACAGGATGGAGTGAATCACAACACTAACAAAGACAGCAAGCTGGTATTTCGATATAAATACGCTGATATGTAGTCCTTCCTGTTTCATCTGGTGACTTTTATACTCGTTGGGTTAAAACCATGTTATCTTTTCCAGTAGAGTTAATGTGATTTGGGGAAGAGAGGAGTGCAACACAATAAAGATAAAAAGAGGGAAGAGCAAAACAAATGAATGGTAGCAAAAGCATGGCAGTTACATATTGTTGAAAGAGCAGGTCTTAAACCTGTAAGATGTGGTGCTGATGGATAAGAGCAGCACGTAGGTAGTATCAGCTTGGGAATTTTCACCATGCTGCTTTGACCCAATCCAAACCGCAATGCTGCCTTCCCCACGCTTTGCAGTTGCAAGGAAGTTTTTTGTGCTTTTGACCCTCCAACTACAGTAGTGGGAGAAAGTGTTTAGTCCCTTTCCTGATTCCATAGTGTTTTGCATATTTGTCACACTTACATGTTTCAGGTCATTATCCAAATTTTAATATTATACAAGTAAGTAGAACATGCAGTTTTTAAATGATGATTTCATTGATTAACTGAGAAGATGTATCCAAACCTACGTGGTTCTCTGTGAAAAAGTAAGTGCTCGTCTTGTTGAATCATGAATTAACTGTTATTAATCACATTTTTTGGAAAGTCGAGTTCAGTTTTACTGAACACACTCAGCCTGATTACTCGCAGACCTGCTGAATCAAGAAATCATGTAAATAGATCCTGTGTGACAAAGTGAAGCAGGCTAGAAGAATCAAATGAGAAACAAGGTAACTGACATCCATCAGTCTGTAAAGGGTTACAAAGACATTCCTGGGAATAGGGGAAGCTTCCCAGAAATGACTAGCCGACTGAAATTACTCCAAGAGCACATCAACAACCCATCCAGAAGGTCACAAAAGAACTTAAAACAACATTAAAGAACCCCAGGCTTCACGTGTCTCAGTAAGATCAGAGTTCATGATTCAACAATGCAAAACTGGGTTCAAGAAAACCACTGCTGACCAAAAAGATCACAAAGGCTCATCTCAAATTTGCCAAAAAGCATCTTGATGATCCCCAAGACTTCTGGGAAAATAATCTTTAGACTGACGAAACAACAGCTGAACCTTTTGGAAGGTGTGTGTCCCGCTACATCTGATATATCTGACATGTGAAAACATTCAGCATGAGGCTTCAGGGCGGCGCTTGACACACCAGGGGGTCCTGCTGGCTACGTCCATACTTTCTAAACAGTCTGTGAGATTATCAGGATTTCTGCATAAAATGTGCCTTGATTTCAATCTGAGCCAGAATTGTAAACAAACACAACCTGACAAAACTGATTACACAACAGAAAAAAAAACAGCTGTGTTGTTCGCATTTTTATTAAACACAATAACTGCTTGTTTAGCAACATCCTCCATCACGTTCCTCATTACGACAGAGCAGCACGGTCTCGTGGCAAATGTAAATTAACCTCAAAGAAATGGACACGGTGACCTTTTTTCTAACTGAAACCAAGTGGTTTCAAATGATAATTAATGCATTTTAAATCATTCAAATATTTATTGTAAAATCTGTGACATGTGGGACTCAAACTTGAGTGTGTGTGAGCAGCTCCACCACCTACTGCTCCAGCCTCCACATGCAGACTTTTCCAACTTTTAAGTGAAAATAATAATTTTGTATGTACAAATACATATACTAGTAGACAGATGAAAAACTGTGTTCAGGAACACAAATCAACAGATTAGAGGGTCGTCTTTTTAAACTTTATTTCAATTTTTGCCCAAGTAAGTGCTCGAAGGTGCTTCGGGGGAGCTGCTAAGGGGTCAGAATTGCTTTTCTAAGGACTTTGGCATTTCCTGTAACTTCGTATGAGACTTGCAGAATGATGAAGAGGAATTCTGAACAATTCCTCCTACCAAACAGCCCCTTTCAGGTCCTACCACAACATTCCTAGACTTTATTCATTGGCGTCTTTGAGTTATTGCTGGGTTGCATCACCCCACCTCTCAAAAGCTTTTGCTCATGAACTCCTGCTTTGATGTTCACTTGAAAATGTCTTTGTAAAGTCTTATAATCACTGATTTCTCACTGAGTGTAAAGGTGTCCAGGACCTCAAGGTGGCTCCACCCTCCAACTTGCTTCACAGTCATGATGCGGTTTTGGTGCCTTTTTCCCTCCAAACATAATTTCTTGTCTCATTTGTCCACGCAGCAATACCTTAAAAATGTCGAGAAACTTCCAGATGGTCTTGAGAGAAGTTGTTAGCACAAAAGCTTCTCAATAACACAAAGAACTATGAGTGTTATACAATGAGTATAACTGTGAATTAGCTGAAGATTAGGTCGCATTTTCTAAAAGAACAAGGCAAAAATCCTCAAGCTTCCCTTCTTCAATGAGTTTCTTTCAGTGCATTCAATGATGCCACTTGAGGCCACCAAAGCTGATTTTTTAAAATGCAGAATTAAGACCGGCAAACTTTCCTCTGAACAAAAATACTTGTAAAAGTGATGATGAGGAGTATTTATTACAAAATAGGGCTGGATTTTAGTTGTAAGGTGCAAGAAGCTGATGTTTTATGACATTAGTCCACTTTTTTTGGCTTGCGATTCTTCCACATGATGACAACGGTGAAGGCTCCTGCAGAGAGGATAACAGGCATTAGCGTTCATTGAATTAGATAAGCAGATAATTTGGCCTGCAGTTCTCATGGTGGACCGACCTATACAGATGAGCAGTATTACTGCTGCGATTCCAGGCAGAATGACTGAGTACTCCCGAGGAAGAAAATACTTGTGCAGGAAGTGATCGCTGTCCACGAAAGGCTGGAAAAACGACCAAAACAACCATGTTAATGTGTGGTGTCAAAATTACTGTCTGCGAGTCGCATGACGCAGTTCCACACCTAAGACTACAAAAAGCAACACGAGGAATGGTGCACTAAAAGGCAGATACAAGGCTACTCTATGAAAAAAAATCTGTTTAGTTTCTGGACAGGATTTTTTTTTCTTTTCTTTTTTTTCCCCCATTCCCTCAAGATGGAGATCTAGTTCAGTATTTTTTTTTTTACGTGAATGGGAAAAGCAAATCAAAAAAAGGGGAAGGTGGAATAGGATGGAAGTGAATCACAATGCTATCAAAGGCAACAGACTGGTGTACTTTAGTTTAATGTGCTTATTATTCGAAGTTCTTTTTCAGTCTCTCCTGTTTCCTCTGGTGACCTTTATACTACATCTGGGCTGGAGCCATGTTAAACAAAGAAAAGGATGGTGAGAGGATCACGGCAAAGTCAGGACATTACATAAACTCTACAATGAGATTGTTCTAACCGACTGTATCTCACAGCTTCCACCATGCACAAACCAACAAACTCACCAATTAAAAGCTTTTGGCTGGACCCTGGACTAAATTAATTCAAAGAATACACAGAAGTCTCTAATAAATAAAAAGACTGGGGTGACATAATCAGTTACATGAGCTGGGTGCTCGACTTGTAGCATGTGCCGGTGTAGTTTATGTAGCGCCAGCTCGGGAATTTGCTTTGTTGTGCCATAGGCTAGTTAACATCAATCACAGTTAAAACAACAATTTAACCCCCCCAAAAACACCAGCTTCCACATGTGTAACCTGCAGTTTTAGTGAGGCTGAAATAAATGAATCTTCCAACCTGTCAGAGCCGTATTCAAGGCTTTCAATCCATGTGACTGATGTGATTTCAGTGAACTGAAGAGAACTTACCAGGACGATGACCCAGACAGAGTAGTACGTGAACAGCACGAGGCTGAAGACAACAAGACTCATGCCAGCCGCTTGATCCACTCCAGTAGCCTGAAAACACATCCACAGAAAAACTGAGCACAAGGACGTCGGTGTTAAGCACGGCACTGGTGATCGTTTGAAGCTTTATGCAGACTAATGTCAATGTGGTTAAAAGTTTAAAGCCAGACGTCAGGCTGTCGTCAGAGGTGAGACACTAAATTTCCCATAAAGCAACTGGAAAGGAGATCCTCCTTGTTGTTACTTGGATATTGAGCACACTTCATGGCACCATCCTCCCCTGGCAAACATTAGCTTTGTAACTGTCAGCTTTGGCCAAATTAAAAATACTCATTAAGACTTTACATCACATCCTGACCAATAAACTGTGATTCTACCTTTTTTAAATAAATGTCAAACAGCAACAAGAGTAAATAACAACAAAAATTGCAGATAAACTTTTACTAAAAAAATTTGGATCAATATAAATAGTTATCTTTATTTACAGGCACTTTTATAAACCCGCATTTCAAAGGAAGTCATGTAGTCAAAATAACGAGCAACAATCAACAAATAAATGAAAACTCAACAAGACGTTGATTCAATAGATCTCGAATCAAAAGATCTCCATTACGAGGTCACGAAAACAACTGCTCCATCTACAAGGTCAATTGCAACTAAACATGACAACCTTTGCAGCTAAAACAACCACGGACACTACAGCAACTTCAACTTCATCATTCATCTGCAACTAAATCAACCTCTACACCAACTCATCATCTAAATTCACCATTGCAACTATACCTGCAACTAACCCCGGTGCTCCAGGTTAACTGGTTAGATTTATTTACATGTTCTACTCTCCGTGTTCCAGATGTTGGAACCGCAGATTTGTCTCCTCTCTCTGTCAGTGTGTCTGCAGCTTGACAAGTTTAAAGACCTTGGAAAAAAAAAAGTCTCCATCCAGCTTGTGCAAATGCATACACACATCAAAATTATCTTCAGACAACAAATAAATTATTTGGATAAAAAATATATAAATCATAAAGTCTTCTGCCTGGTCTCGTACCCCTGTCTTTCTTTAACATAAATAACGAGCTGACATTTTCTCAGGACACCACCGATCAGCTCAGCTGACCTCCACTTTCCCCTCTGAGTGACTAATCTGGGTTAAAGATGACAAACGGGATTTAAAGGAGGAGCGATGAATGCTGAGCAGCAGATCAAAAACACACACTTAAACCTACGTCCTGTTTCTTACCTGACTGATAAGCTGCTAAGTGCTTTATAATTCAGCTGTGAGTTCGGTGAGTTTTCTGAATATACTCGCATCTTGAGAGGACGACTGTGGTGGGGCGTGGTCTGCGGTGCCGTGCAGGGAGGGCGGACGCACCTGCACTGCATCCTTAATCACGCCCGCCGAGTTAAAACACGGGGACTCAGGGGTTGGTGTGCGTTGTGGTGTGATCTAAATAAACGTCTCATAAGTGCGATATGTGGTCCCGCCGAGCCTTAATTCCACCACAATGATTTTTAGTCGTTTCAGCAGATCAGTGGCAGCTATATTACTGACATACACGGGTACTAATCCAAACAGTGTGGGTCATTAATTCTATTTATTTCATATCCAAACAGCTCAAATTCTCATTAAAGCAACAGGTTTGCTTATAAAGTGGTCCATCGCTCCATCCGTTTAAATCCTGTTTGTCATCTATCATCCAGATCGGTCACTCTGAGGGGGAACAAGTTCCAGCAGCTCTGCGCTGAAAAAACAAACTACATTTACTTATTTTGTGCACAATATTGTGATGACGTCACGTTGTATTCCCCACGTTAAACTGTGACTTTCACCAGATAACTGGGGGCGTGTTTCCTGAATCAGCAGGCGCTAAACAGCTGACAGGTGAACATGATCTACGCAGGTAAACTCGAGGGTCTTTGTCTAGAAAGAAAGACAGAGCTAGGAGACCAGACGGAAGACTTCATGGTTTATTTATTTGTTTAAATTTAAATAACTTAATTGTTGTCTTAGGATAATATTGACGCGTGTATGCATTTTGCATCATCACACTAACTCCATCAGCACCTGCCAATTAAACTAACAGCTCGAGCTACAACGCTGCCTGCACCGCAGCACGGCGACTCTGACAACTAAACCAACAGAAGCATCTGCAGCCACCAGGTGTTCCCCCATTTCCACAATAAGATACGTTAAAATGAGACAATCGAGGGAATCCCCTTTAAGCTGCAAAGGCACTGCGCAGCCGCACCAAACTTCATTCAAACCTTCACCGTTTCAGTCAATTTGATAATTATCAAAGATATTTGATCTCCTAACTTCATAAACATGCAATATACGAATAAAAAAACACTGTCAGTAAATTCGGTGCTGAAAAATGTTACCAGGTCGGTTAACTTATAATCAGTTTTACACCAACCATGAAGCTAACTGCTAGCATGAAACTAAAAGAAATAAATGTCACAGCCAAACAGCAAAGATTAGCTCTGACGCTAATTACGCTTAAACTGATGAAATTTCATTAAAGTATTAATTTGTCGCTGCTAGTTTATCAGCTGTTTAAAGGTAATCACAGCAGCTTTCGTACCATTTCTCACCCACACACAGGTAACGTTGTTATTTGCTGACGTATCCTGGTGCTCTTCTTCCTGTTGAGTAATCCGGTTGATACAATTTATCTAATGGTCTCTGATGCCCTCTCGTGGTTCTTCTTCTTCTTCTTTTCTGTTTATTGGCGGTTGGTAAACAGCATAATTGTGCACTACCGCCACCAACTGGTATGGAGTGTGGACCGAAATGAACCCTCAACATAAAAACATTAAAATTCTCCGAAACAAATGAGTCTTCCCTAAAGGCCAAAATATGGCTTGATAACTTTCACTTTTACAGTTCTTGCCAAATAAATCAACCAAGTGCAGTTTCACTTTTATATCGTCAAGCTTTTTCATCAGTTGTCTTCTTTCAGCATCAAAATTCTAACAATACAATAAAACATGTTCTCTACTGCAGTCACGCTCCCCTGTGCAGTGTTTCCCTATTAATAAAAGCAAGGTGCTATTCAAACCAGTGTGTCCGAATCTAAGTCGAGATATAACCGTTCTTCCTGTGCTTCTCATTTCTCTTGTTTTCCTTTGGATTTTGTAAAACCATCGCCCTTTCCTCTTTTCCTCCCATTACTTTTGCAACCTTTCCTTCATGTTGTGCCATATTCTACTTTTGATCTCCATCCTACTAACTCTGATATCCACATCCCATTTCATTACCCTTAACTCCATGATGTGCTGGTACCCATTAGAAGGTGACCATAAGCCCCATCATAGTAACTCTGAATAATGTTTGCTGAATTTGTATCAGAATGTCAGGTCTGCAGTCTGAGTGACTGTCTTACAAACTGCCCAATGATGAACTCGAGTCTGAGCATATCACATATCTTAGTGGTCTTGTATCTTCAATCAACTGGGCAGCTAACATTACTGAAACCATTTCTCCTGTGTATACTGATAAACCATCACTGATCCTTTTCCCTACCTTCATATTAAATTCAGGAACAATAAAGGCTATCCCGCTTTGGTTGGCTGTATTCTTTGATGCATCTGTGTAGATTCTGACAGAACTGTAATGCTGAGTAATATATTCTTGCACTGTATGCGAATAATAAAGAATAAGGATAAAACCCCTATCCTTATTCTTTCTGTTTAATAGTGTGAAACGTGTTACTGGATCAGGGAGTATCCAAGGTGGTATTGTAGGCAACTGTACTGTTTGACTTATGTTGATCTCGTCCAGGTTAAATTCAGCTGCTTCCTGTCAACCCAAGGTTCTTTAATTCTCTTTTCTCTTTTTCCCAGCATGGAAAATAGTTTTTGTTGGATGATCTTGACCATGTCCTTGTAAAGCCCCTTCGTGGTTTACCTGCTACTGCAGCTTCATAGATCACAGCATCACATACGCATGTTTGAGGCAAATAAACATAAAAACAAAACAAACAAAAAAATTGACATTGACACATTGTATTCAGAATCTTAAAAAATATTTTATAATCACCCCACAAATCATAAAATACTGTTGACAGACATTATAAAAATCTTTTTTGCTTTATTTTAATGTAAATAAAAGCAGAATAATTAGATAATCATTTTATACCTGCACTGAAGTGGAAAATAGTAAGGGGCAAATGAAATTCTCATTGTCCTTCAGAAAATTCAAGCTCTTTGGTTTCAGGTCATTTACATATTTCATTAAGTTGAAATGCCCCTGATTTTCTTCGAGATGCTTTTTATAAGATGATTTTTCCCCATTCTTGTTCCATATCTGGAGTTTGACAGTAAATCTAGAAGTCAAGACCAGGCCTTTGATGTCCTGATGGATCATCACAGTAACAGCTGACATGTTTTATTGCAGAGCAAAGACAGCTTTTAAGAGGTAGAACCACTCTGGGAATTCTGTAAACAGTGACACAGGATAATGTGAGGCCATCCATCTGAAAGTTCAAAGTTGAATTAGAACTGGACTTTTCAACAGTACTAATGATCCTTAGTACGACAAATCCACCAAAGGAGGACTCAAAAAGAAGAAAGGGATGAGAACCAGATTCCTTTCATTCCTGGAGCATCAGATAACAGCGTTTTGGCATTGCTGCTTGCGTGTTTCAGGTATGCACAAGGTGTCCTTTGGTGCTGTCGTGCCTAAACCAAACAATTCTCAGGGCCTAAACCTACCTAGTGAATGGCAAAAAAGGGGGTCAGTAGGTGAGAAAAGAGAGTCCAAGTGCAAATCAAGAAGGTCCAATCAGGTCCACAGCTCCCCAGCTGCAGGGTTGATATGTACGGTGAGTTTGTGGCACCCTGGATAATAATGCCTTATTCAAAGCACAGATCTAGAAGTAAAGATAATTTTTCCTTCTTTTTTTTTTTTTTGAAAAGTGGATGAAAGATTTTGGCAGGTTAGCATCAGAGACTGGTGGACAATCATGCAAAACGCCAAAAAGTAATTTCAACTAAAGAAGAAGTGACTTCTGATGCCAGAGGTGTAGTTATCCTTTTCTATAGAATAATTTCACTTAAAACGATAATAGTTTTGATGATGATCAGAAAGTCAGGTTTCCCTCTTGTTGATCAAATATACCACCGTCTCCTGAAGGCATCGTTTCAACTTTTGTTTGTCTCCATATTTTTATTGCATGCACTTACAAACTTTTCCGGCGTGACTGTATATAATAACACTTGTGTTAAGGTGTAGTATCATGTGACATGTGCAAACAAAGAGATGAGGTAGTTAAAGAAATAAGATAGATCCAGACTTTGACAGTTTATTTGGTTTTCATGTTCATCACAACTCCTCCGTTCACATGTAGTTATTAACATTTATTAACATTGTAGTTATTCTTGGAATATTTCCCAATATTTTAACACAAGGAGTGAAAATATTTGTGCATGGAGTTAGAAAGCATTTGAAAACAAAAAAAACCAACTGATTTTTCATTCTCAAAAATCCAGAAATGCACCAGTTTATTCAACAAAATTATTTTCACCCAACATTAATGCTTATATTAGATATTTTATATGCATTTATTATATTTCTACACATTTAGTGATTTTACCTTTAATATAAATACATTTTAAAATATGGTGGAAAATGTTTTGTGAAGTATATATTCCCTTTACCAAACCCCATCTTGTTAAATCAGTACCACAGCTACCACTGCAATATAACCCTGGCCCCAACAATTTAATTTCAAATCATCAGAAATGATAATAATAATAAAAAACATTTCACCACACGGAGAAATTGCTTAATAAGATCACAAGGTTACATATGGTCAAGTACAAAGAAAGAGTAAGTATTTCTAGAAGAAATCACAGTAGCAGACAGATCCCTTTACTGCACACTTTCCCCAGTAACGCCAGGCTGCACTGTAAATAATTACTGTTTAGTCACATCTTACCATAAAATATAAGCTTTTACACGCAGATCTGTGCTGCAGACCAGCCTGCTGGTCTGGAAATAAAAGGAAAACAGACTATATGGTTACCACATCACACATTTCATACATACATACACACACACACAACAATGACAAATGGAAAATATGGCGATAAAGGTAGGTGTATAATTATTAAATAGTACAGGTTAAAGTTGGGGATCCCTTAGAAAAGTGCTTCAAAAAATTAATGTATCATACATGCATTTCTCTAGGACAGACTGTTACATAATGCAACAGTGTGTACTACTCCCTTCATTAATAAACCCAGTCTGACTGTTATGGTTACCGTCTAATGAAGCTGCAATCTGAACACCTTATGGACTTTGTCAGTTGTGAACCTCTTTCTTTTCTGGTGACAGCCAGTTACTGTGTTCTGTGGAGGGAGTAGTACGCATGGCTGCATGAAAATGTCTGCCTGTAGCTCTGCCTGTCCCATTATTGAAAATAAACACAAAAACAAAAACGGTTTTTGCCAGATTAAGTGAAAATTTCAGGTTATTATCTAAAAAATCTAAGTTCCTAGCCAAACATCTGAGAAAAGAACTTATTCTTTCAGTGGCAGAAACAAGCTTCCATATACTACAAATTATGAAAGCTGTGGATAACATCCAGAGCCTAATGGCTTTATATAATGATTAGTAGGCTTTTTAATATGATAAACTTCCAATGGTTAACACAATATCGGAGGGTTTATAATTAACAGTTTCATTAATCACAAATTTTTATTTAAAATAGTTAACATAAATTTTATGTTATATTAAATAAAAAAGAAATCTACTTTATTTTCAGCAAAGAAGGACTTTTCTAAGCAATCCTAAACTTTTGAGGAGTAGTGAACCTAACAAAACTCTAGATGTCCCAAGTATCCAGTACTTGCTTACAACTTACTTATACTTTTGCATGACTTGATGCACCAGAAAGCTTAAAAAAACTGTCTATTATACAGTACATCCTTTCATATCAGTCAGAGATGCATGGCCCGCATGCACATCTTGCAGCATGAACATAATCACAAATGCACAAATGAGTCCTGTGGGGGGGTGAAGATCTATTGTATACTGTCAGTACTCGCACAACAGAGGCTTTGTGCTGCTGCAGCTGTGGGACTGACCTCACTACAGCCAACACCGGCCCACAGTATCACTGCTAGCTCAACACGCTAAGTCTGCACAAGCCTTGCAAAAGCAATGAGGAAAAAGGAGTTTTATTTTCCTTGTTGCAGCACATTCATAAAACCTAAACTGCCCAAAGCTACAAAATGCAGAGTTCTGACTGAAGTTAATCTTTTTGGTAAAAACACTGCTTTGTTTGTCAGTGTGAAGCCAGAACGATGGCAGGCAATGAGCAAGTAAAACGACATTGATTATGGTTCCAAAGGTGAATGAGCACCTAAATGGATGGATGCAAAAATAGGCAATGCTAATATTGTGATTATAGTCATTTTGCCTGCTAACATCAATTTCTTAGCTTGTTGTGATGTCACTTGTTGTTAAAAAGGGTTTATTTTTTACTTTCTGTTAAATATATAATATTATAATGTTACATATTTTACAAAAATGAGGTAAACACTGATAAGAGTAGTTCATGTGAGCAAAAACATTCTGCTCTCATGATGTGCTGATGTCAGTTTTGCATGAAATAGACAATACATCTCAGAAACCCTGATTTGCTCCGCTGCAGGCTTCCAGAAGCTGACCAGTCATTGGAAAGTTGGCTTATAACAAGAGGGTTCTTATAAAGAGACAGGTGCTTAAACTATTTCTCTTAGAGAGTGGATGAACTGAGGGGCTAGTACCATTAAAAGCTCCAGTGGAGCAGAGCAGGCCCTCAATAAAAATCTCCTGCCTTAAAATGCACACATTCTGGATTCAGCTTATTTGTGTGTACTTAATATCAGAGAAAGGCCAACATTGGAAATAAAATGTGGCTGAGAAAGGAAGTAAAGGCCCCACAAAACCTCACATTTATGACAGGTTTATGAGATCATTGGAATTTAAAAAGTTAATAAGTACTTAGTAAGTGCAGAGGATGGATGGTTACATATGGCCAGCCATATGAACATAGGCTCTGTGGGCATTAAGCCAACACAGATGAAATAAGAAATTTAAAAACAGAAGATTTCATGTTGTTTCGGACAACTGTGCCACCTCTATTTCCTTTTAGTGGTTTCTAATTCGCCTCGGAGAGTTCACATGTGCAAAACAGTGTAAATAAGTAAAAACACAGTGATCAAATAACATTAAAATAAAATAAAAGGACAAAAGCTTTAGTTTCAGTTCCAGGCTGATTTTTGCTCAGCCTGAACGAAGAGCGTCTCTCGGGGACTTTTGGGTCCTCATCAAATCCAAAGGCAGAAATATTGACGAGATCGCGTCATAACAGGGGTGAAAGTGATGCTTCAGCTCCTGTTTACTGCCTCTACATGTTGTTCATGACTTCCTTCAAATTTACTCTACCAAATCTATCCAGGGTTAAGTAAGCATCGATTTCTTCTCACACAGAAATGAAATGGGACGTATTGAAAGCACTGAAGGGACAAAAACGTAAGGGGTGTAAAATTCAGAGGAAAAACCTGCAGGACAAGCGCTCGGGGACAAGGGTGTAGATCGATTTGCTTTTACATTAATATGTGATGCTGTTGGTGAATTTTTCAAACTTAACCTTGAAAAATGAAGCAAAATGTATCCTTGACTAAAGATCACCATTTGTTATTGTTTTTCTCAATAAATTTGATGTTTTTTTCTTTAAATCTGTCAGAAGTTTGTTAATTTTTCCCCCATAAATCTGCCCGTTTATCCTATTGCATTTGACAAGATTGCTCTAGTTTTTGCCTGCTTTTTCTCCAAAATTTCCCAGATTAATTCTTGTAAATTGGACAGCTTGTTGTTAATCTATCCTACTTTTTCTTTCTCAAATTTGCCATTTTTGTCCTGTAAATTTTTCAGTTTGGTCTCATACATTTGTCACTTTTTACCTCTGAATTTTACCCCTGACAAACCTCACGCAGCCTCATACTCTTTCCACATGTCCAATAGCCCTAATACATCCTTGCAAGTATGACACTTTATCTGAAAGTTGAAAATATATCTATTTAGCATGTGGCTAAAATACAACCTAACACTAAACCATAAATCTGTCCACTGGTTAAAGGGAAGCTTTCACAGTCTGACTTTATCTTCTGTCCTGTATTTTCTCAGAAACTCTAAACTCCCAACCAGCTGACAGAAGCACCCTTGTTTCAGTGTCGCACTACAGTTCCCAGAATGCAGTGGTTCCTAAGGTGTTGTTCAAGTAATGTGTGCACGAAGCCCTGGTCAGAGGTTGACTGGGTGTGCTTCTCACTGGTACCAGTGTTCAGTGACTGATTATGTCACAGAGTCAGCAACTTTTACAGACGTCCTCGGGGACTCGTCTGAAACACACCCAGTGTAGCGAAAAGAAGACAAGCCGAACAACAGAGTGAAAAACTGAAAAAGTCCTGAAGTCACAGAAGGGAAAAATAAAAACTAACCTGAACACACAAATTAGTAATTGATGCTCCCAGCATAGTGAAGAAAACATAAACAGGTTTTCTCGAATGTCAGCGTCACTGATTAATGTTTAATAGGTGAATTCTGTCTGAATGCAAGTGGCTCACTTTGAGATTTTCCATGGCTTCGTATATGTTAGGTCTCCCTTGCTGCTGCACTGCACTCATGGACGGATTATGAGAAAACGCGCCTCTGAGCACAAGCCTGACGTAGGAATCAGGATACGTCTTTGTGTCTCTCAGGCTGTTTTATGTGACTGTGCAGCTGATTATAGCAGTTTCAGACCCTTTAGCATTGTTATTAATTTTTACATTTTTGCTTAGTATGGTCATTTTATGTCTCTTTATGTTTTATTTCAAATCTCTTTGGGGTTGCTTGGATCTCATTTCATGTTTTACGTCCAACTGTTGTCATTTGGAAGCTGTTTTCAGGATCTGCTTGTAGTTATTTTATAACTGCCTCACTGCCATTTTTGTTACAGTTTGACTGCTGGGTTTACAGGTTAAATTGTAGATTTAGACCCTTAACCTAGTTTCTTTGAGAGCATGAATTACTGATTTCTGTGCATGCTTCCCCCTGGTACTCATCAAGCTCTTCAACATCACATTTAAACCTGATCAACACTTCCTGCAGAAAACGCAAAATAGAGGCTTCCGCCGCTAAAAGACAGGCTACTCCACGAGGAAGATTTTTACTTTAAAACAGAGGGCACAGTCTAACCAAAAGAGCTGTAACATAACACGACACACAGATGCAGGCTGGAGCAGTTTTAAAAGTGCTTAAAACCAGTAAAATTAGAAATGATGACCTTTGTTAGAGGTTAAAAACAGGTTAAAATCAGTCTACTGTCTGAGAAAACACTGTACCCGTGTGTTACACCCGTCCCACCACCTGATTAAAAACACTAGAAAGCTCAACATCTGCACCACGGTGATCACACATGAAGTTTTGTGCACATGTTTGCACGCACGGAGACAATTGGATGTCAGAGAGACGGCAATGAGGCGAGAGGAGCGTGGGTATCAGTGAGTCTCGATGACCACCGGCTCAAAGATGCCAGGAGTTACTCTGGGAAAAGAACAGAAACAGGTGAGTTTTTATGAAAGATGATCGTCGAGAGAAAGATATGGCGAGTGAGATGATACCTGTTGGCGAGATGCGTCCCGCTGAGGGCTGTGGTCCCGTCTTTGCTGATAAACAATCTCAAGTTGCTGTCTGAAAAAAATGAGCCCAGAGGAGATGTTACTGTGGTGACGCTCACACGTTGTCCCAAAACCACAGACTGCATATAAAAGATGGACATACAGTAGCCCATTATTTTGCTACAGGGACCATTGTGTCTGTGTGGAGTTCAGACGTGTTATAACTTTAATTTTGAGCTTTTTTAAATTCCTTTTAGTGAGTTTTCTTGTTTCAGTTTAGTTTTACTCAATCTGTTGGGTTTAGTTTGCATGTTTTATTAAAATGAAGGTGGAAACTTCATTTTAATAAAACAAGACTTCAAAAGTTCAGAAACGATATTACAGTAAAACTCATCCCCGTATCAGTAAATATTTCCACAGCTCTGCCCACAATGACACAAAGGCTAAAGTTAAAGGGTTTTTTCCAAGACAATACTCTTTCAAAAAGTTTTCATCTTTTCTAAAATTCTACTTTTTGCATTTTTTTTTACAAGTTTTGATTCATGTGAACGGGTATCTAGATGTCATAGCTGTGTACAGTCATCAGGGGGCGATATCCTAGAGTGTGGAACGTCCAGTAATGAGTACTCAAGAAGACTGAGTTCACAATACACAAAGAATTTGTTTGTCGTGAAACTGAGCCCACACATACCATCACCGCCATCAGTCCTCGTGCTGCTGGTCCCTCAACACTGATTTCTGAGTTAAATCTGATTGGCCACTCGTTAGTCTTCAAAAAAAAACATCCCTTTATGTTAAACTGGGTTCAAAACTGGAATTATTTCCACTTTCTTTATAAGAGGATAAAGTCTGTTTTCACACCTGTGCTGTTTAGTCAGTTTAAATCAAACTCTTGGTCTTTTCCACCCTTAGTGTGGCTCACTTGTGCAGGTGAACCAACACAAGCACACTAAAACCCTTTGGAGGAGCAAGCCTTGAGCTAGTTCCAAACTCTGGTGTTTCTCGTACGATGAGAGGTTAACCCAACTTTGCTCTGATTCAACTACAGGTGTACACTGTAACAATGGAAAGTGTAAAAGTCTCAGACACTTCTTAACCAAAATCATCCTGTGAGCTTTGCAGCAGACAGATTAATTGTCCTCCTGGACGTTCATGAGAACATCAAATTATAAAATGAGCATCATATTGAAGCCAGTTCAACCTGATTCTCATCAGGACTTCATCAGGAAAGTGATGAGTTCTGTGCTATCTGACATCTTTATGCTGCTGCAGGAGTCGCCCTCTGGTGGCCAACAGGAAGATTTAATGCAAGTTTGACACGTTTCAGAGCCAGAAGCTGATACTGTCTTTGATATTTGTCCTGTGGCTGAAACTAAGTCCAAATAATCGGGACTCTGGCCGACCTTCGTTGTTGCTGCTGTCAAAGTCCTGGCTCTTTACGATCGTGTCCACGATAGCGTCTGCATCGATGCGGGTGTCGTCCACACAGCTGGGCTGCTTCTCCACGGGTTCCTTCTTCCTCCTGTTTGTTGGACCGAACACAAACCAGAGGAAAAGTCACGTCTGAAACACAAACACAGCTTCACAGTGAAGCGCTGACAAATTCATTCTGGAGCTCTGTGGGTTGTAATTCTTCTGTAGTGACACCTGCCCCACCTGTCGTTTCACCTTCATGAATCATCTACTGATATCTTACTAATAAAAAAATTTTAAAAATGTAATCAGTGGGGAGGGGAAAGGGTTTGGCTGCTAGGAGCTGGTTGGTTCCTTGTTAACTTTTTAACTGATATATGCAAGTGTGTGCAAGCAAGATGAAGCTGAAAACTGCAGGTCTCCGAGTAGCAGATGTATCGGTGTGTGTGAATTCCAGCCAAATGCTTCACACTCTTCCAGAGAATCTCAGGCATGTAGGTTCACACATGCCTGAGAATCATCTCCGGCCTTTTATCGACACCACGGAGTCCTGACATGCCTCGCCATGACATCAGCGAGGCTGAGAACATGCAGCGGCAGGTGGGTTTCCTCTGAGGTGCAGCTGTGTGTGAGTCTATCTACCTGGAGGATCTGTTAGACAAGATTGCCACAGCAGAGGGAGGAGGAGGTCTCTCTGGCTTGGTGGGGGTCGCTTGGCGGTGCGGCTCAGTGGGGGTGGAGGGAAGCGGCTGAGAGGGGTGGCCGAGCCCGCAGGAGGCGCCGCTGCTGGAGGAGGTGTTCCTGTGGTGGCTGAGATCGTTCAGGCTGGAGCAGCGAGAGTGACCGGTGCTGTAACCTGAGGGAAGGAAAGGAAAGGAAAAAGATGAATGAGAAGAGAAAAAACAGAGGAAGAACAGGAAAAGGAGAGGAAAGGACATGAGAAAGGAAAGGATAAAGAAAAGAGAAAAGGAAAGAGAAGAAAAAGGAGAGGAAATAAAAGGAAGTGGATGGAAATGGGAAATAAAAGAAAAAAGGGAGGAACAGGAACAGGAAGTGGAAAAGAAAAAGAAGATTCACAGGAAGAGAAGAAAGAGGAAAGGAATGGGATGCGGAAAGGAATAAAAATGAGAGGAAGGGGATGAGGAGAGGAACAAAAAAATAAGTAAAGTGAACAGGGTGGATGAGATAGAAAGGAAAGAATGGAAACAGATGTTTATTTGTGTTTATTTCCTTCATGTTTTGTGCGTTTCCTGCAGCACAAGGAAGTTAAAGTTCTCTGACCTGATATCTTGCTGTGCTGGCTGGCGTAGCTGGAGCTGCGAAAATGACCGATCTGAAAGACTTCATCCGGACTGGAGACACTCCCTCCCTCCTCGGGCAGCCCTGCACACACAAACATAGCTCCGGCATTAACACCTCGAACCGTGAAAACATCCTTAGGATCCCTAAAAATACGCTACATTAATCAAGGTACATCTACACCAACGTCTTACCTGAGCTGCGCACTGATGACTGTCGGGGTTTGAAGGACCGAGGTCCCTCCATGATGCCCCCTGGTGGCTGCAAAGTGGCGTCAGTGCTCTCCCCCTTACAGTCCAGCTGCAGGTTGGGGTCCTCATCCCCGATGGAAATGGATTTGGCCGTACTGGGAGGCCTGGAAATATAATTTATGTGTTACAAAGAAAGCTTTAATTGTTACATGTGTTGCTCAGACAAATTGAAGGAGCTCACGTTTTAAAGCAGGGATCCCCCGACAGAAGGGTCATCCCAATTGTTACCTATAAAAAAAAAACAGATGTGTTACTAGACTTGAGCACTAATTAGGTCAGTGTGTGTGTGTGTGTGTGTGTGTTTTCCTGCCTTGAGAATAGAGTTGTCTTGCCGAGTGTTTTTGGTGTCATAGCCCTCCAGGATGCAGCAGCGGACGGTCGAGCCTGAACCAGCAAACTCGGAAATGTTGAGATCAGCAAAACCCAGCTGGAGACAGACAGACAGACAGACAGAC